GGGTGGCCGATGTCCGATATTCAGTTTTAAGGCCGATAGAGGCCGATACCGATAGGGGGCCGATTATATTGTGCAACCCTATTTTAAACTGCAGTATTTATACTTCTACTTAAGTAACAAAAGTGTGTACTTTTGACACCACTGCCAATGATTGGGTAAGGGTGGCCATGGCCACCCCTGGCCCCCTTCTAGCTTCGCCCCTGCTTGTCCTGGATGTTGGCCTGAAATTTTGATTTTCAAAGTATTTCACTGAGTGCCCTATAAAGGGTTAATTTAAAAAAGTTTTGAGTTATAAAGTTAAAGGTGAGTTTTCCGTAGGTTTGGTTCATTTTACAGAGGAAAATGTGCTTCCATATTGGCAGGGTTACCCGCCTTTCACCCCCACCTGTGACCCGGTGGCAGCGAACCTGTCAGCAGGAAACTCCGTGGTTTCACAATGGCCTCCGGTGCCCCTCCGCCTCCCCCACCGTCACTTTCCTTGTGACGGTACTGTGACATTTTTAAATTTTTTTGTCCTTTCAACAATAAAAAACTATATAAATAGAACAAATTCGTGTTCAAATTGTCATTTAACGTTTTTTTTCCGAGGAGGTCCACATCGCCGGCGTCAACCGCCGCAGGTTACAGTTAACTGCCGAGTTGCGGTGCACCGGCCGGGGTAATGCGGATCCATTCAACCGTGGACAACAGCCCTGTTGACTCCCGTCCTAGTCTCTCAGTACTGGGACTTTCAGCTTAATTTAGAAGCTTAAATATAGCTTAAATCTACTCAAATGTTAGCAAGAAGCCCGAAAATGAAGGGAAATGTGAATATTTTCCTAAAGTGTGTGCGCGCGGATCCAGTTTTTACGGCACGAAGTTGAAATCATTCTTTCATACAGGTAGAAACGCACACACTAAGGGCGTGTTCCCATGTCTGCCCCTCAAATACGCTTAAATACGGCCAATTTCATCTGTTAGCACAATCAGCTAAGCGAGCTAACCCATTTTTACAGGCGTCGGAATTAAAGCAGGACAATTCTAACATAGAAGGCTGAGCTTCACACGCAAGTGAGTCCACACCTCTGCAGAGCACGCATGACAGTAAACCAGCTGTTATGGAAACATAACTCACCCTTTATCGGCTGCAATATCTTATCATTGCGTTTGTAGATCATTTATCCAGAGATTGTTAAAAAAAAAAAAAAAAAAAAAATAGTTCGCGGTGAGGTACAGTAGGAAGCAGCCAGTGAGGAGGAATCACCCTGGCAGTGAGGAATGTCAGAGGGGGCAGAGCTTCACGGGAAAACACAGGGAAGGTGTAGTACCTAAGGGTGGCACTAGGGGCGCTGGAAAAACTGTCTAGAAATAAGTAAAAATCATCTCTCACACATGTCAATGTCTTCACACACTCTCACTCCATATTCACAATTTCTCACACTAAAAAATACAGACATTAACCTCTTACACCCTAAGGGTATATAAATAAATTTCTGCCTGACAAAAACACACAAAA